CTTCGAAATTTAATATTAGCTCTTTGAAGCCCATATTTGGAGCAATTGGGGCCCTCAAAATTGGGTTCTATTCTCGAGATCAGGTTGGTATCTCCTCTGGGGCCGATGCTTATGATAGCAGGAAACCCTCGAGGTCTTAATATCTCTCGAATTTTTCGGTATAGTAGCATTTATGCGACCTGATAATGGGACCCCCGGAGTGGTCCCGCCAATACATTTCCCAAAAAAGGGTGATGTTGTCATGGCCAGAATTAATTGGTCCTCTGGGCAGGCGAGCAGTCGCTACTTTGCCCCTATATATTCACTCGCTTACTTCCCAAATGGAGATTCTGCTACTCTAAGTAACTATTTCTTTCATAGAACTTGGTTCTTTGTGCTAGTTCTCCCACTGTTTCAACTCAAAGCCTTTGCCCAAATCTTTACCCTCCTTTTCCTCTTTTGCCGTAGCCATGACTACTACATTGACATCCACCCATCAACGAGAGGGGAACTCTGCCTCTGTTCCGCATCCGGTTGGTGGTACATCGCCGGTGCTCGATGAGCGAGCCTCGAGGTGCTCTGTCTCGAGGAGAAACTTTACGTTGGAGAGGCCTCCCAACGGTCAAGGACATTGGGAGCATGCATCGAGGTTCATCTCATCAGTAGGGGAGGAACATCTCAAAAATGATTAGAAAAGATTGCAGATGGAGAGAAGGAGTGGTACTGCAGGTAACTTCCCCGGAGGAGAGTATCATGACCCATGTTGAGAGGTTTTGAGCGTGTACACACATCCTTTTACGTTGAGTCCCCCCGACAGGGTCGTGCTTGAATTCTGCAGGAGATATCAGGTTACCCTAGCGCAGGCTCACCCATCCCTTTAGGAGATAGTGATGATAATAAGGTACTTTGCGGATAAGCCGGGCTCGACTTCACTCTCAGCCATCTTGTTAGGTTATATCAGCTGCTGCATTACTGGGGCTTGATTACTCTGAAGTGTCAATCCACTCGGTCCCCTGCCATTAACGATGAAGAGGACGAGGACCGATAGTGGATGAGCTGGTTCGTTCGAGCATGGACGATCGATATTATCCCTGGAGAGTTTTGTCATTTCCTGAGAAATGGAATTTCACACGTAAGTGGCATACCTGTATCTTTATTTCTTTGTCCATAGTGGAGGCGAGCTCCATAAAGGCATCTTTGTATATAATTCTTTGTAGAGATTCCTTGGTTGCCGAACGAAGTCCCTGATTTGACTAAATGGTCCCGCAAGCTGGCAGCTTGTTCGACCTATGATAAGCGCAGGTGGCGAGACCTGTCCAAGGGGAGATGGGAGGTAAAGCTTCACAGTAGGAGTTTAGTGGCTTATTTCCTCAGAAAGGTACTTTTCCTTTTAGCGCACTAACTCTCCCGCCGCATGTGTTGGAGATTTTTCTGAGATGAGGTCGTGCCCCCTGGGGGAGGAGGAGAGACTACCGACCTTGGGATCGAGGATCAACAATAAACAGAAAGAATCTCCGAGTTGTGAGGATGCTTATGGCGGGGCGAGTCCTCTTCTGAGATACAAAAGAGGCGAGTCGACCGATCTTCCGGCTTTAAAGGCCTCTGTTTTTGAAAGATCATTTCCCATTTCTGTCGAAGGTACTTCGAGGAATGAGGGTCATGCGGGGCCCTCTTTTTTTTTTACGAAAGGCACTTCGGGGGATACTAGGCCATCTGACATTGGCTCGGCCTTTGGTGAGGCTCAACGGCTTGGTTCTATGGTAAGCTTTGGTAGCCGATATATGCTTATTTTGGTTTTGTTCCCTTCCTTTCTTGTTGGATTTCCCTCTGCAGGCCTTTGACAAGCTTAAGTTCGAGCTACTTCCCCATGAGGCGAGGTTGCGGAAAGTTTTAAATTGGGAGAAGTCCCTTAGGCTCTTTTATGCGAGGAAGGAAAGTGAGCTGGTACACCTACGGTGTGAGGTGGATCGAAGTCGGAGCTGCAAGAGCCATCTCGAAAGACAAGTAACCTATATTTCATGCTGATATATGATCCCCTTTTCATTTTTGGAGATTAATGTTTCGATACTTCAGTTGGAGGGCAAAACGGAGGAGTTAGAACGACTTTGGGGCGAAGTTGGCCCGGCCAAGCGTGTGTTTAACGAGTTAAAGGCTCAGGTAGATGCCCAAGTTGTGGCCAAGGAGGGTGCTTTGGATAATGCTTTTGCCCTCGAGGTGCAAGTTCGGAATGCTCGTGCGAATGATTCTGTCTGAGCAAATATGATCACAAAGCTCGAGTCTGAGCTTTTGAAGGCAAAGGCCGAGGTAATGAATGCTCGGGCTGAGGCTGTAATGAGCCACACTAGGGCTGACAAGAAAGCGGCGGCCTATTTGAAGGGCGCTGCCGATGTTAGAGTTGAGCTGAGGAAAGCTCTTGATCGTGGGAGCAATAGTAAAGAGTACGTAAAGTGTAAATATCGGAGGGAGACCCTCAAGGAAATTCATGCCAGGGGCTTTGACCTCTCGGAAGAGATCAAACAGGTGAAAGCGGAAGTATACGATGCTAAATTCCTTCTATCCGATGCTGAGGATGGAGAGGATGGGGCCGTTGGGCCATAGTCCCTAAGGGGGACGTACATTTCCTTTTCTATTTCTGTATTCCGTACTTTCAAAGTATGTTGTAAATGGAGCTTGTATTTGTTTGCATATATGTATAAAGAGGAGACCTCATAGTTTTGTTTCTCTTACATTTTTTTGCCTGGATTATAGTCAGATGAACTGGTTCCGGAAGGAATCCTTAGATTTGTAGTGCGGCCCTGAGGCTCATTAAGCTGGCCCTTGGGGTCTTACGTGCTTGGTCGATACGCTTTTAGGTTTAGGCATATTCAGTTAACTATTTTGGGTTCGGTCTCCGAACCAGGTTTCGACTCGAGCTCATTCGACCCTTAAGTTTTTGAATTTCAAGATAGCCCTTAGGCTCTTACGCGTTGGGTTGATGCGACCTTTTATGTGGGCTGGCGATAATGGCCCTTACGCCTTAGGTCGATGCGACCTTTTAGTATAGGCTTTATTTTTCTCTCGTTAAGGACTTTTTGAAATAGTGTTTGCCTGACTCTTCGACGGATTAATAAAAAACCTCGATTGTAAGTCATTATGTGGCGAAGATCCAGCACCTCAGGAGGTTTGGCTCGGAGGGTGAGTATCTCGAAGCCAGTGTTTGGGAGCTGACATGGTCGAAGATCTTTTGCCTATGTCAAGGGTAGCCTATTTAACCGATTCTTTCTGCAGTATATTCGGAGTAATTGAAGGCCTGTGATTTTATAGCGACGGTCGGGTATCCCCGAGTCGCATTAGTTTGGCTGGTACAACCTTGTGATCGGAGTCACTTGTGTTTTGCCGGAGCCTTTAAGTCCCGAGGGAAGTTGTTTCGGCGTCTATATCGAGGGTATGCCTTTTTAGGGGTTTTACAAGTTCGATATATAGCCAAAACTTTAAGATCGGGTTTATGCCTTTAGTAAGGTCTTACAAGTTTTACATGCCTTTTGAGGTCTTACAGTTATTGTTGTTGCCTTATATAGGTCTTACGAGATCGAGGTCGTCCGCATGTGGCCTTATGGCATCGAGTTTTGATAAGTTGATGGAGGTGGTGCTTGACGGCAGTCCCCGAGTCATCGAGGGTTCCTTGACTCGGGATCCATTACTTGTAAACTTGGTATTGCCTCATTGAGGGCTTACGATTTCGGAATTTCTGACCCGGAGGTCATGTGGTATTGAGTTTTTAACGCCCGTCCCCGAGTGTTCGGGACATCTTTTGGCTTTGGAGCTTTTTTTGATCTTGTTGTAGCCTTATTGAGGGCTTGCGAGCTCGAAGCTCCGACCTGGGGGTCGCATTGTTGTGAGTTGTTGACGCCAGTCCCCGAATGCTTGGGACGTGTTTTGGCTCTGGAGCCATTTTTTTGCAAACAATATGGAGCTTTCTTGACACGCAAAATGCTTTTGTGAAGTATTCTTATATTAATTGGTGTAAGTATACATGTCTTTGCTGTTTAAGGACTCAATTGTTCTATACGGACATGGTTCGTTCGACCGTTTGGCCCGGTACATTATCTTCCTATCGAGACCCCACTTGATGTATCTTGACTTCTCCGAGTAGATGACCTTTCGGGGGGATGCCCCCTAGTATTCGAGGTTGATTGCAAAAGAAGCCTTGAATACTTGTTGAGTTTTCCTTAGGTAGAATATAGATGTTGCCTCGTTAAAAACCTTGCCGGTAAAACCCTTTTCGGCATAAAAACTCGGTCTGAGGAAAAGAGAGTGCAACGAATGCTTTAAACCTTAAGGTCTTCGAGTTGGGTTAGCGCTTCAACTATCTCGGTCAGGAACCTGCATAAAGTTGAGTATGAGGTGTAACTTGAAAAGGGAGATGGTTGTATCTTAGTGGATATGGCGCTTTGGACCTCGGTAGGCCTTCAGTTATCTGCTCGAAGTACGCGGTATGGTCCTCTTTTTGTTCATTCAAAAACAACCGAGGATATGCCTCGTGGTCGTAAAATTTGCTTTATCTTGAAGACGTCAGATTTCCTTGTTGCTACTTTGATGGCACCGACATGTGCCTTTATGAAAGAATCTGCTAGCATGGCAAATGAGTCTACGAAGTTAGGAGCTAGGTTGTGATACCACATCATGGCCCTTTCGAGAGTGTTTCCCCGAACTTTTTTAACAAGATGGACTCGATCTTGTCGTACTTTAGATCGTTTCCCTTCACCACGCAAGTGTAGGCAGTGATGTGCTCGTTGGGGTCCGAGGTTCCGTTGTACTTTGGAAACTTGGGCATTCTGAACTTCTTTGGAATAGATTTTGGGGCCGCTTCCTACTTGAACGGCTTTTTCACGAACTTCTTTGAGTCTACCCCTTTTAGGATCGGGGGTGCGCCTGGAATTTGGTCGACCCTAGAGTTATAGGTTTTGACCTTCTTATCGTTGGCTTCTATTATTTTCTCGTCCGATTCGATCCTCCTTGTGAGATCCTCGAGCATCTTTATGATGGCGGTGTCTGCTGCCAACCCGTTGTTGCTTGATCTCTCTGGTACCTGCTCGGCTGGGGGAACCGTCCCCGGTGCTACCGTGCTAGGAGTTTTCTGGTGACTTTGCAGTTGAGCAATAGCCAGCTGTTGTGCCTGCAACATTTCAAAAATAACATGAAGGTTAACCTCTTGTTCTTCCCTGGTCGGGGTTTTCTGAGCTTCTTGGTGCCCGCTCCTGTTAGTGTGGGAGCTTATGTCGACGTGTTAGGCATCGCGTAAGATCGCATCCACGGGGATTGGTTCTGGTGCATTCCCAGGGTTTCGTAGTGGCACACCAACACCTGGAACACCCACACCATTTTCTCCGTGGTCCTCAAGATTGTTGTTTTCACCTCCATTCACTGAGTTAGACATTTCGACCTGAAATCGAAGATCTTAGACAAGAAAAAGCGTAATAGATAACTTGCGTTATGTAATAAAACCAGTAAGAAAATAATTGCTATTATTTTTAGCCCCATGGTGGGTGCCAAACTGGTTACCGTGAAAATGGTTTTAACAATTAAATTTGATTTAGTGGTTCTAAAAATACGTGATATATTTTTATGCTAGTTGTTAAGTAGTTGATGCTCTGTGGAAGACTTAGAAACAATGTAAGATCTTAAAAACGAGGTGTTAATCAAACCGAATTGCTGCCGATCGGGGCCTCGAGCTTGCCTATTCGAGGGCCTCGGGGTCGAATCTGAAGCTCGGCTGGGAGCTATCAAAGGTAATCGATGGGGACTAACAGTTATGAATGAATCAAAGACGGATCTTTATGGCCAATAATAAGCAATAAATGATGAACTTTAAGTAGAACACAATAAATATGAGCAATAAATGAAATAACGAGATCAAGAGAATAAGTTAGAGAGCAGAGAGAATATTCTTGTGTATTTAGTATAGAGCAACAAATGTTTACAAAATGACAAAGATCCCCTTTATATTAGAGGGGGATCCCAACATAGTACAAATGCATTAATTGAAAAGATATGGGCAGGTACAATCATTTAATGCTCTGATTCGCTTTTTCGACTAGTCCACTAGACTTGGCCAGCTATATGTACGTGCCTTGGGAACTTCACCCTGATCTGCCGAGACCGCTAATTTCATTGCCTCGAGGGCGTCGTTACTTATACTGTCTCGAAGTCGATCGAACTGTAGAGAATTCTCGGAATCGATCACTGGAAGCCCTCGAGATACCGTGATGCTCGTGAAATCGAGCCATTGATTTCCACCGTATACTTATATAGTGCTTACCCTTTAATGATCAAATTTTTTCTTAATTATAAAGTAAACTTTGAGATTGATTTGGCACTTGCATTGTCTAATGCACATTCACGAGTTTGTTACAATTTTAACGTTGTTAAACAGTATGGTGAGTACACATTTGCAGTATAATTAAAGAAGTTACTATTTTTTTAAATAAGGTATGTAAAAATATAATTTAAGAAATTACTTAAATGGCACAAGATTTGATTACTTTGCTAGAAAGAATGTCATGTAGCAATTATCTTGTGTTTCATAATATAGCTCATAAAAGGTATTATTTTTATTACACTATTAAATTTGATGCTAAACTGATAAGCAAATTTTATATTTTTTCTACCATAAAAGGAAAATACATAAAAGATTGTATAGTTTAAACTGGGATAATATTTATGTTTAGACATATACAACCAAACTATTACCTCAATAAGAGGGTAAACACCCCGTTTGCCAATTATATATACTTATTTATATGTTACCATGGCTCCATGTATACTTTATTTCAGACCTTTGAACATTCACAGTTGCAAAAGAAAGTGCATTTTGTCTCTTCCCTGAAGAAAATCAAGATAGCTATGTTGGTTGATGAGTGTAGAAGATCAGTTGTTCTTCAAGAAAGGATGGAAACTTTGTTTAGGAAAGCAGAGGAGCTATCTGTTCTATGTGGCGTAGAAATTGGTATTGTTGTTTTCAGTCCTGATCAGAAAAATGTTGAATATGAGTGGCCACCAAGAGACAAATTTAAACAACTCTTGATGAGGTTTCTAGATAAACCACTGGTAGAGAGGCTTAAGAAGTTGACAACAAATGAAATGTTCCTCAGGAAAGAGATGGAGAAGACTAAGAAAAAATGATCAGCGAAAGATTGAAGAAAAAGAAATGGAACAGCTATTTAAGCAATTATATCTTGGGGATAAGACTGTCTTTGAACTGGATAAAAGACAACTTATACGCGTTCGCAACTTGGCTATAAAGGCGAAAGAGAAGGCCGTTGAAAGGAGAATACATCTCAAGTTACAAGATCAACGTCTTTTGGTACCAATTGATCCCATACCACTTCGAGTGGCTCCACTGAATATAGAAGATCGACCTCAACTTGTTCCGTTACCAATAGATCACGTACCACTTGGAGTGGCTCCACTTAATGTACAAGATCAACAACTTCAGTTACCTACCGATGATCCTTTGACACTTCGATTGGCTTCACTTGACGTACAAAATCAACGTCTTCAGTTACCTGTTGATAATCCTTTAGCACTTCGATTGGCTCCTCTCGGACCTAATTAATGAAGACAAAATTACTCTTATTGTCAGTTGGCCCAACATTCTAACAAAATTGGGCCTATATTTTCCCTTCTTACCCGGTATAGCCCAGTTTATACATAAGTTGAAAAATTATTTTCATCGATTAGCCACATTACTGTCCCCACTCTTTTTCTAGATGCGGAGGAATTTTTTCTATTCCCAAATTGGTTTTCTCTTTCATATTTTCTCCTCACCCCTCTTTCTCTTTCATTTTCAATTCGCTCTTGCTCTTTCTCTCTCTCTCTGGCAAAATAGTCGAGTTCTTCTTCAGATTTCCTTGCTCCGTTTCATTTGTATCTTCCTCTTCCACAAAATAATACTGTTGAACAATCCACACCAGATCTATCTTTTGTAGTCTTTTTCTTTTTGATTCAGTGCTCGCCGAAGTCGATTCCGACTTTGACATTAGAGGATCCTTTTATTCCCGTTCGAAGAAAAAGAAAATATTGAGTGATTATTTCTTTTGATTCTTGTATCGTATTCTAAGTTATGAAATCTCCTTTTTTTGGTAATTTTCCTTCTTCTTCTTCTTCTTCTTCTTCTTCTTCTTCTTCTTCTTCTTCTTCTTCTTCTTCCTTTTAATGACTTCCGAAAGGAGGAAGAATGATGTATATGTTGTATATAACTATATATACTTTGTATAATCATTTATAATCATGTATAACCATGTATATTTGTGTGTATTCTCATAATTATACAGAATTATACATGATTATACACAAGTATATACGATTATACATATTATACAACATAGATATATTTGTGTATAATTAACGTATGACTATATATAACAATGTATATAAGGTGTTTAATAATGTAAATTTTTATTTTTTCCAGTGAAATAAGAATTTCCCTTACAAAACTTTGAATTTTGCAAAAAAAAAAAAAATTATAGACTTTAAGGATGAATATATTTTTTACTTCAACTTTCTGATATTGTGAATTTTAGGAAATTCTATAAAGAGGGAAGTAAAAAATAAATAAGAATGAAAATGGAAAAAAGGAAAAGATAAGAATGAAAGAAAAAACCAGAATTTGATTTAGGCATGATTATGAGTGTAGTTGACGAAGTTCGACGAAATTTGCGACTTGTTTTCATAAAATTGATAATGTTTGTGGGCTACTAGATGAAAATCGTATTTGTGGGTTAGGCGGGTGAAAACTACTTTCTCCAAGTGTATTTTCATGTAAATTTCTCATTAATGAATATGGTTAATCGCAATCAGAGTATTTTAGCGCAGCAACAATCAAAAGTTTATTTGTTCAACTTCGTGGTCGAAGCTTCATGTTCATTGCCCTTAGGAAAGCTTACTTGTGCAACTATCAAGATATTTGATGTGTTCCATTTCTCTTTAATGTACCTTTGCTTCTTTTGGTTTATTTTCTTTTTAGCAATAATTGTCGTTCAAAAGTCACTTTAAAGTTTCAGTTTACAAATGAAGAGTAGTGTATATGTATTTTCTAAGAAAACTCAGCCAAATTATTTTCTTCAACGAAGAGATCGACTACAGGCTACAACATTTATCTGGGAGAAAATTGCATGTCATGGCCATCTTAGTAAGCAACACATTATTACAAGATCGAGTACTATAACATATAAAGCGTTGGCATTTAATGGACCTAATATGGATAATAAACATTCTATATGACATTGAGATGTGTCTTAAAACTACAACATTATCTTGTGATAATCTCAATGCACTTTAAATGACTACTAATCCAGTTTTGCATACTAGAACTTATTAAGCATGTGGAGCTTGATTATCATTTTTTTTTTAAATTAGGTTGCTCGAGGTCAGTTTTTACTCATTTGATCGATACAATATTAATCAACTAGCTGATATTCACAAATTAGGGGGAAAGAATTTTTGAGTTAATTCAAAATAGATATATTAGCAAGGATCTCCCTATTCCATTTTTCTTTTTAATTTCAAATTAGATCTTGCATGTGTAAATATTCACAACTACTGTAAACTTGTTATGCTTAGTGAAAGAACGAAGAAATCGTGTTCCTCCTTTCATGTTGTCATAATTCAAAAATACATTTGGTTGGTCCACCTTTAAAAGTCAAGTAAATTATCTAACTAATAGGAAAAAAAATGATAGCTTATGTGGGTAACTTTTTCCAAATTCAGGTTACTTCAAGCAGTTTCTATACTACTGCTTCTATGACGTTTTACAGATTTAGGACTTCATTTTATCTAGTTTATGTCATTTATAATATTACCATTTCATTAGAAAATTAACAAATACATATCCAATACTATCTTATGTTTCACAATCTTGTGTGATTAAGTCAACAAATCGAGAAATTACTTCAACACTACGTGATGAGATGTGGTAAGTTGTTATAAATATACGCAGTGCTTATCATACTTGATTAAATATTTCTGTAAGCACAAAGTAAACTTTGAGATTGATTTAGTAATTGCATTACTTAATGAACATCATGAATTTGCACACTACACCGAGAAAGGCTTTTAGTGGTATGAAATATTTATTGCCACAAAAATATTGACCGACAATTGATTAAATACCATTTGATCCAAAGTCGATAAAGGATCTAGCGCCATTTGTGTCAAATGCAGGAAAAGATCAATTTTATTGCCACTAAAAATAATTATTATGGTCATGATTCAAAATTCACAAGTCATTAACACAATCCGCTAAGTAAATCAACAGTCACATGACACAACCCGTTAGGTAAACCAACAATCACATAATATCAATAAAAATGAAATAACATGGTCTAATAACTCAACAATGGAAGAATACCATAAAGTATCTGAGAATAAAATAAAAATATCACTACAACCAACCCCAAAATCTTGTGTCAACGAGTACACGAGCACTACTGAATAAAAAGGTACAAAAAAATGCCCTAATACAAATGTTTGAATATAAAATAGTAAAGATAAAGATAACAGGAAGAGAACTTCAAGGACTACAGACGATATGGCAGCTACCTCGTAGTCTCCCGAAAGCAGGCACAACTCCAGTCTGAAAATCACCCCGGCCAGATGTACCTGGATCTTCACAAGCTCACAACCTCTTCTGAATTTATACTTAGAGTGTTCTTGCTTCTTGTTGCAATTTGGCTTTTACAAGACTACTGCTTTCTTCTTTAATTTTCCCTTTGAAACTGGTATGTCCTAACTTAATTTTCAGCATCACCACAATGTGTTTACTTACAGTCTTTGTATCCATGTCTACTTTATTGTTTTTTGTAAAGTTTAGCATCTAACTTAATATGCCTATGTGCTACTGCTTGCCTCTTTCTATGAACACTTGCTCCCTATCCCATTACCCCTATGTGTTTGTAAGTCGAGACTTAGGGCATGGCAATAAGAATTGTTGTCTATGAACTGAGTTTTGAACTCCTGAGGTCTTAACCTCTAAGTAGGCTGGAGGGTGCCCAGTATGTCTCATTGCTGGGTATGCCCCTTTGCCTGCTCTTCCTACAAATTCCCCACTCCCATATACCCCTATGTGCACTGGTTTTAAGTTACTTCCTTTTCCTTTCCCCCTCTCAGAACTCTGCGCTTGCACTCACTCTTAGCTTCTAAGTTCTGCCCCCCTCCTGTGAGCCTTGCCTTGAGACCTTGAGTTCCCTCTGAACTTGGACACTTGAGGGCTGGCCCTTCCACACTGCACTATGACTTAATCCTGCAATGTATTTGGATGTAAGTACTGCCCGAAGTCTATATGAGGCTCTTAGGGAACTCTAACACATCCAAATGAGAGAAAGGCTTTGGGTCTTGATCTTGGGAGTTGGTTTACTTCATACTTCAGACAAGAAGTCTGAATCAAGCTCTCCTTGATTGTAATTTTCAATTTTCTGATGTATTTTCTCTATTTTATTTTCGGATTGTAATAACTTTGTAATAAACATTTGGGCTGATTAGTGAAAAGGGAGGGGTAACCATGCATGCAAGGGGTAGATGTCCTGCTCATAGGGTTTTCTGCACTTCTGTATTTATACAAATACCCTGCCTATAGTTTCTGCACTTCTGCATTCATGTAGATGTCCTACTCATAGGGTTTTCTGTACTTCTGCATTTATATAGATACCCTGCCTATAGTTTCTGCACTTCTGCATTCATGTGGATATCCTACTCATAGAAATTTCTGATTTTTGCATTCACATAGATAACTTGCCTACAGGCTTATGAATTTCTGCATTCACATAGATAACCTGTCTTTATGAATTTCTACATTCATGTAGATAACTTGACTATAAGAACTTCTGCATTCCCATTTAGATACCATGACTATAAGAATCTCTGTATTCGTATATAGATACCATGTCTATAGGATGCACATGCATGTAGATAATATGCCTATAAGTCTTTTCTGATTCTTGCATACTCGCCTGTCATTAGGCAAACATGTTATAGGTTTTAACAACCAGAGAAATCAGATATCACGTTCGTAATAAAATGCAGCACCTAGATAACGTGTTTTAAGTTAACAAACACATAGAAAGCATGCCTATAAGGGTTCTAATAAAATTTGAATTGGTTCACTCGCTTGTATGTTTAAACTATCA